AAACGTAATTCTCTTAATATTACCTTCTTGTTTATTGAACTGTTGAATAAAATCACGTTTGTAATCATGCTGATTTTAGAGGTGAAACCTGCCACTCTTCGTGTGGTATTGACTAACTTTCTTTCTGTGGTATTTTTTATACACAATGGCGCTTAGTCTTTCACAAAACATAGCAAACGTAGGGACATCATAACTAGCCACCATATTGATTTACGATCTTAAATATGTCCAGCGCTTTTTTTACAGTCTATGGTCCAGCGTTTATCGGTTGTGCGTCAGTAATAATGGTCCATGAGGAAACACGGTGTTCCGTGTGTAGTTACAGTAAATGGACTAAACGAAGCCTCGAGGACAATAATTTGCCTTGATGATTTTTTGTATTCGAGTTACTCGAGGTATTCGAGGAATCGTTTCAGCCCTACAATATATATCACAATATAGTCATTTTTGCTTTAAATAAGGTCTTTATGTTATCAAAATTTTCACTGAAGACAAGTAAACGGTCAGCGATTAAATAAGAATAAGAAACTAATTATAAGCAATAGGACAAAAAACTACAGTAGAACAAATAAATAAAGAAATGCTACATACTTTGTATAAAGAAATCAAATGTATAAAAACACTGCATATTCTTTACTTTGTAAATTAAATTTGTGTTTCTTATGAAAGTAATAAAAGTGATTTAGTCAAGAGCAGTGAGAGATTTTCTCTCTTTTGTTGTTTGATTAAAGGGGTCATATGATGCTTTTTTAAAGATCATTATTTTGTGTATTTGGTGTAACAGAATATGTTGACATGCTTTAATGATAAAAAAACACATTATATTTCAAATACTGTACATTATTGTAGGTCCTCTATGCCCCGCCTCTCTCAAACGCTGCGTTTTCTACAAAGTCCCTCCTTCCGACAAGCGCAGTCTGCTCTGATTGGTCAGCTGACCCAGTGCATTGTGATTGGCCAAACACCGCAAGCACTTGTCGGAAATGTAACGCCCCTTACCATAATCGTGAGCTTCATCTTTCAAAATAAATGTAAAGACAGAACCAGAAAGGGGAAGAGAGTCGCATGACAGACACAGTGATGAAGCTGGTATGTGATACTGTTATACACATGCTTTCTTTCTCAGCTGTTTGCTTTCACTTAAGACCTACTGTGTTTATGAGGGTACTTGCTAATTGTAATTTACATTGGTAGCATGCATTAAAATCGTTATTAAAGACAAGGTAGACAGAGTAACAAGTGTACACTAGTGTAACAAGTATACACTAACAAGAAAGTGTTTGACACAGCGGAAACCATTAAGAATCCACATACACACCACTGATGATTTACATCTTCATAACAAGTGGAACCTAATCATTGTTTTGATATTGAGATGTGAGTCCAGAGAGGATCGATCCTTGTTTATTAAACTCTAATGAGGTTTATGAGGCTTTACACTTGAATGAGCTTGCTATCATTTGATTACAGTTATGACTAAGGAGTGTCACATTTCATGATATTATGGCAGTCATCAATCATGATATGAAGTCAGTTGTTAATCATTATACCACAGTGTCACATGTCACAGATATTGAGATCATTCCCTTTTATCCACATTGACTTGTATTTGGACAGTCCCGCTGGAGCATCCCAGGGTTCAGTGCCTTCCTCATGGGCACAACAGTAATAGCTGATGAGTCATCTCTCATGTGATTCAAACCTAATTGCTGTGACGTTTAGCCACTATGTCACACCAAATTATGGTTTAATACAGCAAATGTGAGTATTCATTGAGTTACCTTTATTGAGTTGGCTGGCCCATTTTTGTTTTATTTATTTATTTATTTTTAATTTGTCAAAAGTAGTGAATAAAAAGAAATTGCTTCATAATGGAAAGTATCAACTTTCTCACCTAATTGTGAAAGAATGGGAGTTTTATCAGCTTTATTCACGTCACAGATTTAAGTAGTTACAGTAAAGCTAGATATTTTCATTGCGGCACAAGTGACTTTATTGCTTGCCAAGTTGCTCATACCACAGATTATCTTTCCCATCTGATGTGTGGTTAGTGACAAATGCTTTGCACTTTTGAGAAGGGTTGTTGGAGCTGTGTGTGTGTGTGTGTGTGTGTGTGTGTGTGTGTTTGAATGAATCCAGGTGGAACCAGGGTTAAACTAAGCTCCAATCTGGATTTGTTTTGTGAATCAGGGGCTTTCAGAGTCACCCGGAGTACATATCTTGTGAGAATATGTAGGACGCCACTTTACATTGCATATCTGTACCTTTGGGTTCATGTGTATGTGTGTGTGAGTTTACGGACATTGAGTAATTCAGTGGCTGATTGTTATGTCTTTTGCCGTTTTATATACCCCATGCAGAGAAGCATTGTTTTTCATCCGTCTTCAGTTTGATGTTTGTTGGTTGTGCACCATTCAGAACTAAACTGAGAATGCCTTTTTAATTTTTTTTAATTTTTGCTGAATTTGAATTGAAGCTGTATCAATTATATTATATATTTATATATATATATATATATTTACATATGAAGAGTTCAGATGCAAAAGCCTTTTTTTTTCAAAATAAATTTTCTTCTAAAATATGTTTATGTTCAGTTATTTCACTTTAATAGCAATGAAAAGAACCTATTCATTGCCATTAAAGTGAAATTACTCAACCTACACATAGGAGCCTGATAAAAATTTAAATTCTCATTTTAGAAATTTTTTTTTAATGAGACTTAGAGGCTTTTGCATCTGAATTCTTCATATATATATATATATATATATATATATATATATATATATATATATATATATATATATATACATACACTAAAGTTTGTATTTTTGGAATGCACTTTTCAAAGCGCACACAGCCGTTTTAAAATTCATGTTTAAGGTATGACTGTGTCATTTATGTTGTAGAACAAAACGTCTTTTCAGGTAATAATAACCACAGATTTAGTTCATTATAAATGTAAAACAGCTTTTATAAAAACCCATTAGGACTCCCGAGGAAGCCCATGGCCTTCTGCATTTCCCTACAACCTAATGTGATGATTGAATAACCCTATAAGTTTAGCCAGTCATGTTTTGCCACAGTGGTTTTGTGGGCTGCCAGTTGGACTTGTGACAATAGACAGAACTTGAAGGAACAGGATATAAAATGTCAGGAAGGTTGTAACATTTATCTAATCTGTGGACCATTTGTGATTCACCATACTTCATTATTTTTACAAAGGTCATGTTTGATTATTCATGCTTTTTCTATGAGGTCTGTTCTTTCAAAACTTAAGGATGAAAAATGCAATATTCTGCTCTCCTTTGATCTTCAGACCACCAGGGAAGTCTTGATTCGATCTTTATGAGTCTGGCATCCTCCAGCTGTGAGCTGTCAGGTGCTTGAGTGTTTCAGAGGAACTTGTGAATGTCTGATGTCACTTAGAGAACAGGAAGGAAACACTTTCTCACTCAAATGAACAAAGCAATAGGATGTTCCTCAGACTCTGAAAGAACTGTAAGCCAGGGGCTGTAGCTGCAAACGTGTGTGTGTGTGTATCATGTGGAGTGAGTTTGGAAGTCTTCCTCATCCTCAACTATGTAATATGAGCCCGAGTAGTTTTGGTTCACACACAGTTTGCTTTGAAATGGGACAGATTTTCAGTTCGCTAACTAACTAACTGTTTAGTCTGGGATGCTAAGTTATCTTTGTTATCAGACATATCAAGCTGAGTCAAACATGACCTGTAGCCCATCAGCAGTTGGTGCATGTGTGGTGTTGGTGGAGGGCCAGTCTGTTCAGGGTCACACTGGGGTAATAGATGTGCAGTTATCCGCACTCATTTTCCCTGGCACGCCGGCGGATATCAGGGACAGATGCCTTGGCAACAAGCCCAGGGTAAATAAAGGACAGGAGGAGGCCATCAAATCTACCTCCAGGCATCATACAATATGAAGGATAACAGTGTGGAAACAGTCAGAGAGCTTTATCTAGCGAGACAGACACAACAGTGCTTGCTTTTGTGATAGCAGTGACCATATTAGGGGCCGGATAATGTTCCTAAAGAACTCTCACCTGAGTCCGGATTATCTAAAACATAATACTCAGTTGATGCTCCAGTCAAAATTGACCTAGAACACAAAAATAATAACTATGTATACTTTTATTTTGATTGTCTTAAAACATTTCCAAAGTTGGTTCCTATACTGAAAACTACAGTTTTTTTTTGTTTGTTTTTTAGAAAATATAGGTACACGTTAAATGGATTTGAATGCAATAAAGGGGTTAATGTTAAAACTTGGTCAATGTAAATGTATGCATTTGTGCATGTAGTTTCTGTGAATTATATAAAGGTCTATATTTTTATTTAAGGTATGACAACATATTATTATACTATATTTTTCAAAGAATAATTGACAATTTGATATGTACATGGGATTATTAAATAATAACTTCAGTTAATACTTGTGCAAGAACACACCACTGGCATCAAACTTCAACATTTCATTACAAAATTAACACAATATTTGTTACTGTATAAATTTAAATTAACATTTTGAGTTAAGAAAAAAATCACAAACTAACAAATAGACAACTTTTACCATCCATTCAGAGTTTATAAAAGTGATGGGGATGTAAGAGAGCGATGCAGAGCATAAGAGCTGCAGGAATGGAGGATGATGAGAAGGAACATAACAGAAAGCGAAGGGAGAACATAGTGACCCACTTTCATCAAAGTGGTCTGCAGAGATGAAAGGATGAGAATGGTTCCTTTGACATTTCATACTTTACTGTACGTCTTCTGCTGCCACAGTCTAGCTTCGTTTGTGACTGAAAGCTCAGCTGTGTTCTTATCTGATTCTTTAATGTTCTCATTTCCTGTGCAAAGTCCTGTTGTTTCGCAAAGATGGACTGTTGTGGTGAAGAGCGATTAGTCCCAGTAAATAGATTGCACAAGTATTCAGCATGTCTGGCCAGACTTTTGCAATGAAAGTTTGACCATGTTGTGCATTTGTTAATCATCATGGAGTTCATTGTGTTGTTTGTTTTATCTGTGGTCTCCTCCCTGGCCGTCTCATAAAGATTTGTAATAATGTTGATAACTCATTCTCTCTCTGTTTCTCTCCACAGGCAGGAGGTTCAGGAGAACTGTGTTTGCTGGCGAAAGAAGTTCTCCTTTGTGTGTAAGATGAGTGCCAGTCCTGCCACGGGGGTCCTGGACCCCTGCATTTGCCGAGTGTCTGTGCGTAAGGTTAGTCTTATAGTCTTAAAATTTTAAGACACACAATAAAAACATTATTACCTACCTTTTTACAGATCAAATGGGTTGTAATATGTTCACTGACACTTACTTCAGTACTTACTTCAGTCTTTGTTTAGAATATTAAATACAAATACTAGGACAAGGGTAAAAAAATCAAATTTAGACATAAAAAGATTAAAAAAATTAAAGATTAGCTGCTGGAGATAGTTTCCAAACAATTTTAATATGATCTTGCTCAAATTGAAATCTGTTAAATCTGCCTGTGGTTGAATAAAACACCCTTATCCCACTTAACAGAGATTATGGAGGTATTCAGTGAGTTTGGTTTACACTATACAGGATATCTGCTGTCTCATGGTTTCCTTTGCTCTCATTACCCTTCACTCCTTTTGCCTCATAGCGTCACCACACCAATAGCAAACATTGCATAACAAATAATCTCTCTCTCTGTCTCTTTTGTCCTTGCAGGAACTTAAAGGTGGAAAGGCTTTTTCAAAGGTAAGAGCTTTCCCCTCATCCCTTTCTTTTCACTCTCTCTTTTTTCTTTATCTCCATCTGATTGTTTCTTCCTCACGTACTGTCTATATTGCAAATTTTTCTCATGCTCTGTTATTCAAAAGGTTTGGGTTTTATTCCTTGGGGCTTTATATGTTTACAAACACAAATCTCTTGTGAGTTACATGCTTGTATACCAGTATACATACTGTACTACGTGACACACAGGACATCACATGTGCAGGAAATACTGCATAAATATAAAGGGTGTAATGCAGTGGGAAGGTAGTGTTAGGGATTCAGTGTTCTGGTCTGGGCCTGCCATAGACATGTGTTTCCACACCTTGAGAATCTCTAAACCACACAGTTATCATTGCTTGTACCATCCTATGTTAATTGTACAGTAAATTCAAGCAAACACTGATAATAGACAGAAAGTTGGACACATATAAGCTTTATAAGCTTGTTTCCTATCGTTATTACTATCCTTATTTCCTATTTCTTATTACTATCCTTGTAACAGGATAAATACCAGGTACACACACACACACACACACACACACATATACAGTATATATAGATATATAGCTTTCTGTCTATTATCAGAAAGACATTATACTGTGTATATATATATATATATATATATATATATATATATATATATATATATATTATAAAATAAAAGAG